CGTATCTGCGTTTGCGTTTGCGTGTCTGCGTATTCTGATCTGCGTACTATTCTGGCCTGCGTTTGGCCTGCGGCGGCTTCGTCTTGGGCTTGGTCTGCTGCATCCACGTCCCACTAGACGTCTCACTCACGCCTTTTGTCGACAGCCACGCCCATGCCCACCTGGCCAGCCCACATGTCGTCGACTGGCGTACCTACCGCATGTACCTCGATACTTCAGTACAATACCCATGACGCATGTGCCCGCGTGTACTCAGGTCACTTCTTGTCTACACGCCTTGGGCCGTCCTCCACGGCTCCTCCGACCCCAGCAGTGTTTTCAGTTCTGCCATCGGCCGCCGCCCGAAGGGCACCAAGTTGACGGCACCTTGCTTCAATGGTGAGTCGCTGACCTCCAAGTACTTGACTTACTTAAAGTACTTACACATGTACCTCCGAGTAGGCACCTGGGCGCTCAAGCATCCGGTACCTTACTTGCCTGCCCAGGTGGTTATGCCCGTACAGCATGGCAGGAGCACCTTCCTCGCCCGCCTTCTGCTGGATGCCTCGACATCGATCCATCCAGGTGGTTCAAGCTCTTTGCTGTCCCCAGTCCAGTCCACTGTCCAGATGTCCCCAGTCCACGGTCCACAGTCCCCCGTCCCCGTCAGCCCGTCCCCCCCCCGTCCCTAGCTTGGTGCTGCTAGCCAACTGCTAGCCCACCTGAGGGGCCGGCCACCTGAGCACCAGCTGTTCCTGTCCTCCCCAACTTCCAGCCCTAACCCAATTCAGCTGGCCGTGCCCGCCCGTCACCTAAAGCCCGTGCCAGTGTCAGTGTCAGCGCCGCCCAGTGCCAGCGTCCACCCAGCCTTCGCCTCATCCTTCCTCTTCTTCCCGCCTCGGAACGCCATCAGGACAACCTCACTTCTCCTCCTCACTACCCTCTGTTGCTGTTGCCCAATGTGCCCTGCACGGTTGTTGGATACCTCACTTTTGTTTTGGCTTTTGGCGTCCCGAACCACTCGCATTGTGTCCATCCCACTCATTGCTGTCCCTTTGGGGACGCCGGCAGTGAATTGCCTCTGTGCCCTCTGTCAGCCACCTGATTCCGTCTCGGCTGCCCGAGCGTCTGATATTCACGACCATTTACGAACACGATAAGAGCGAAAACGTGCCGAGTGCATCATATCATGTAACTGACTGTCACGCCAACAATCATACCTTGAAGTTTGCACTGCAGGAAACTTCACGCCGAACCTGCCTAACCTTTATACTTTGCTTCGGCATCAATCGACTTGGAACCCTCGAACCTGCGCCTCACATCCCACCACGACTAGCAACCTAGCGCCGCTTGACTACGACACAGTCTGTTCGACGTCTTACGAAATCAACATAAAAACCAAAAACCCTTGCCTTCGGGTTTGCTTGTTGATCTACCACACACGACAACAATGAACTCTCTAAAGGTTCCCGACGGCGGTTGGATGCTGGCAGGCTCCGCCGACCAGGACTCTACGCTGCTACCGCAAGCATTCGTCGTCAACCTGTCTGATGATGTTGTGGAGCAAATGATCCGGAGTGCCCGCATGGGGGACGACCTGGAGTTGGAGTTGGGAAAACGGCCGGTAAGTTTCCTCTCAAAGGTCATCTTGTGTGTGCCTTGGCGCCATGTCCAATGCCTATTCTTGGCAAGTGCCAGGAAGGACTATGGTACGACGAGGGCACCTTTGAAGCTTCGTACTCAAAAGTACGCCACTTGATTATATTTATGTGCGATGCTAATAGACTTGACACAGATGTTACACTACGGACCCAATACGCATCGAATACCAGCCCCCGAGGAGGAAGTTCCCTTCGACCTGTACCTGACCAAGCCTTTCGAGTCGACTCGTCGTGCTGAGAGATTGCCACATGCGGGATCCGTCTTTAGGAAGCCAAAGTCCCCTCGTGTCTCTGAAAAGCAGGCTGTGCCGAGCACGAAAGAAACGGATGTCGGCAAGAAACCTTTGTCTAGTAAAGGCTCAGCGTCTTCTGGGCTTGATATGGATATTGAAGCCCTGCAAAATGGGTTGGCAGCTCATGATGCCGCCCGCGACCGGTAAGTTACAGGGCTCAACACCTTCTCAACGATGCCTTGGTGACCATGCGCTGACCGGAGTTGAAGCGCTCGCGTTGTCGAAAAGCTGCCTACGGGCAAGGGTACTGCCAAGGCTAAAGCCAAGGTTAAGCCCTTGGCCAATTATACATCTACCCCGAAGTCTATAGCAACTTCACCAGCGCTAAATGCCACCCGCTCGCCGAACCTCATTTCGCAAGTTTCAGCCTCCCAGCAAGTCATGGAACGAAAGAGGGAGCAAAGAGTTACACTGGTTCATGAATTGGCAGTAATGGATCGAACGACCGAGTATTTAAAGAATAAGTGGACTGGAAAGGAAGAAGATTTCCGGCCAACCTTGGAAAAGATGGCTGATTTGAACGATTTAAAGAAATGGACTATGAAAAAGTCATGTTGGAAGGAACTCGATGTTTGGAAGTACGATTATGGTTCCCAAGACGACCGCCAAACAGCGATTGACAACGCCGTTCGACAATATGACAAGCAACGACTATCGTCCTCTGAAGTAGAGTGGCAACGATTATTGCCCAAGGAAGAACGAGGGAAGGGAAAGTGCTTAAGTCGCTTGCAAGCCAACCTTGCAAAGGGTCCCGCTCAACCAGCACCAAAGATTAAGGCCGACGGTTCTGGCTCAAAAGAAGACACGGAAATCGCTGAGAATGATAAGCCTAAGAATGGAGGCGAAAGCATGTCTCGTTCAAACTCGACTTCATCGCGAACTAAGTCAAACAAGCTCTCGGCTCAGGAGGCCCAGACTAAGAGGCTATTGGGAAGTTCGAAATCTACAGCAGCCGCGCCAAAGCCATCCCCCACCAAGGCCAAACCAGCACGCAAGACTGAGAAGCGTGAGCTTTCTGCAGCCATTATTGAGAACTCTGACTCGTCTGGCGATGAGCCACCAATGATGAAATCAAAGCCTGTCCCAGCTAAAGCGAATAAAGCCAAGGACACAGTCATTGTGAACACTAGACCATCGGCACCAGCAAGGGAACCTGTCAAGAAGCCACATGTGAAGCGACCGAGGGAAGAATCCGACTCGAGCTCCAGCTCCGGCACGCCACTGTCGAAACGGATTAAGCCAAAGCAACCACTGCCTGCCCCCGGCTCCAGGCCGCTTGCCACAAAGAACAGCCAACAATCGCAAGCCCGTGCTGCGTCGTCCTCGTCTCGAAGCAAAAACACGAACAATACGTCTCCAACAAAGTCGTCACCGCTTGCGTCGTCTCCACCTACCAATGCATCAGACTTGGATGAGGAACCACCGATGCCCAAGAAGCGAAAGGCAGATAAAGAGGACAAGCCCATGTCGGTGAAGCGCCGAGCTGTGCCTTCCGATGTCTTGAACAAAGCACACAAGTTCAAGACATACTATCAGCAATATGAGACGTTGCACTACGAGATTACGGCGCTGGACAACCCACCCCATGAGAAGCTCGCTAGCCTGCTAGATTTGCGAGACCGATTGCAAATCATGAAGCGGGAGATTTACAAGCAATACTCTCCAGATCGAGAGTGAGGGGGAGATCTGTTGTTATTATATTAGTAGTTTTGAAGCCCTCTTGTGGGTCTCGACTTTTTTTTTTTCCCTTTTATCATGACATTGCATGTTCGGCCTGGGAAGGAAGCGATATCTTTTTATTCTCTTTTGACATATTTCCTTTTATTTTGACCGACGAAACCGGCGTACACAGGATAGCGGAACTCAGCATTTGCATCAAGGACCAGGGATCGGGACCTTTTGCACGTATACACCGAGAACAGTGGCGGAAGCAGTGATGAAGACTGGAATGCGGAAGTCTACCAAAGATGACGAGAGAGGAGAGAACAAGACTTCGTATGGGCGATGCCTAGGAAGAGGGTTTTTAGTTGTTTTTTTTGATACCACAGCCTGACACAGGCATGAATACAAAAAAGTGTAGTAAAATTGATTGTGGGCCAATCACCTCTGTGTGCAGTGAGCGGCTGGATGGCGGTTGGATCCGTTCAGCGCAATGAGCCAAGTGCTGACACGGCTGTTTCAAGAGTTTTGTTGAAGCTGTTGGTTCTGCGGTCTGGGTTCGACACCGAGGCCAACTGCGTGGTGACGTCGACTGCAGTTGCAGATTGTTTCGGATGCTCGGTTCCGTGCCGATACGGAGTCGCAGGACCTGGGCCAACGCTCCTACTTACAAAAGGTTCTATCTATGGCATGTCCTCCGAACCCGGGAATGCTAAATGGACATAGTACAAAAATAATAATAATAAAGAAATAAAGGTCATTTCGCTTGCATTGCCGGTTTTATGCCTTGTCCGACGGGCCTTTGTACGATTATTTTTAAACTACGGGGTACCTTGGCGCGTGGGTGGTTGGCCCGTCCTTCGTATCCGAGACAAGAGAGACAAGAAAACAACCACGCATGGTTCCAAAGTCCCCAGAGTGCGGGACTTTCCAGAGAACAAACCGCCCGCCACTATTGCACCACCGCAGACCACCGAGCCTTCAATGTTTCTCTGGCGGCAGGCTCACGGGCTCTGCGTCTGTGAAGGCCAGGCTGCGCCGAGGCTGCCAGCGCCAAGAGCCGCCACGCCAGGGGTGCCTTGTGGGAATGCTGGGGCGGCAGTTTGGGAGCCGCACACGCCCGTTGGCTGACTGGGGCGAGGGGGGTGGGAACATCCTGCTGCATCTGAAAATCAGGGTCCTGGGCGAAGGAGAGAATTTCATCTGCTGTGTTTTTTTTGCGGGTGAATTCTCCTTTTTTTTTTTTTGACACACGCTCGTGGGCGTGTAAAGTATCCGGGTATATATTTTCGAATCGAACTCTAGGGAAACGATGGCTGTTTTTTGAGCGTCCTCGTCTTGCGAGACGAGCGAAGACGGACGGGTACGGACCTAAAAAAAAAAAAAAAAAAAAAAAAAAACCACGAAAATGGCCTCATTGGACCTGCCCCAGGTCTACGAGAAGCCCGCCTACGAAACACTCCTCGCTGTCCTCGAAGGGCTTCGCCTCCAACCGCCTGTATGGAACCACCGGGCGGGACGCGCCGCCACCGCCCAGGAGCAGGAGTCGCTTGGTGCTCTGCGCAGGGCCGACGTGACGCGGTACATATCGACGATTGTGTCGTCGCCGCTGGGCTGGATCGCCAACGAGGAGCAGAGGGAGACGCTGTGGGATCTGGCAGCCCGGCGCATGTCTGAGAGGTGCGGCCGGGCGGCCATGGGCGACATTGTCCGCAGGTGGCCGTTTGAGACGGCCGACGGCGGCGTGGGCGCGTACGAGCCCTTTGAGCTGGTGATCCGGGAGCCCGCGCTGACGGGGGACTCGCTGGGCTTCAAGACGTGGGGGGCGTCGTATGTCCTCGCGCAGCAGCTGCCCAGGCTGGCCGCCACGTCGCTGTTCAGGCTGTTTGACGAGTCGTTGGGCCAGGAGGCGCCGGCCGTGCTGGAGTTGGGATCCGGCACGGGGCTGTTGGGGCTGGCGGGCGCCGGGCCGTGGGC